CTCCTCCCTTGCTTCAGCTACCTTTGGCAGATGTGTGAGGGCTGAGGTGGGTCAGCCCTATCCCCCACTGACTCCCTCTTGTCACAATGCAGGGCTTGCCACACGGGTTCAAGGGGCGTGTCTGAAGGCCTTCATTACAAAGTCCCTGATGCCGGATCAGTCCAGGAAAACACTACAGAGCAATTTCTGAAGCTCTGGGGTTTCACCCCATCCGCAGCCTTGAAAGAGAAAAGACTGAGAACGGCAAAGAATCTCTCTCGTGGTTCCCCGTCCTGTCAAAACCACTCCAAAACTGCACTTTAAAATTGCCCTGAAATGCCACGGAGAATCTCAAAACAGCAGCGGGGGATCTGATCTATAAGCCTCTCCATCGTGAGTCCATCACTGGAAAGGCACTGACTAAAAATGGGGTTCCTGAGAGGGCAGTGAAGCCAAAAGGGGCCCCGGTGCTTCCCCCCCCCCTTAGCGTTCCAAGGAGCCCTTTGCTGTGGCCCTTTCAAACATCAGGAAGAAACGCCATGGACACAGATAAGAGAGGAGGGAAAACTTTCTAAAGGGTTACAAAGCTGCTAACGTCCAGTGGAAATGAAACAATGAATTCCACAACAGTTTTGGGCCATCCTGTGCACGAAGGTGGCGGCACTGCGATTCCAGCAATGCGTGAGCAAACCCCTCGGAGCATCGGGCCATCTACCCTGCTTCAGCCGAAGCACGTGAACTCTTCAAGAAAGATAACAATCCCTTACGGAACACAGAGGATGAAGAAGAATCAAATCGGCATTTGGTGAAAGCCAAAATACAATCCAGACTTAAATCACCCAGAAATGTTGTGGTGGGACTTAAAATAGGAGAGCCGTGTAATAAAAGCCACCAAGTGTTATTGAAGAAGTCTGCAGTGAAGCAGTGGGTCAAAAAGCCCCCCATGGCAAAGTTAGACATTAACGGTAATTAGAGGAAGGGTCTGGGCTGCAATTATTACCCATCTGTGTTGCTGCTGCATTGGTTACGGAGTCCGAGTTTTTTATTTTTTACACTGGAGCACAACATGCTGGAGGACTTTTGTTCACGATTTACATTAAACAAGCACCAAAAATTGGAGCTCCTTATTTACTCACACTCAGCTCCCCTTTAATGTGAAGAGGCTCCGGTCCGTGAGATGCTTTGATACTATTCAATGGCAAAGACTTACAAACATTCAGTATAGTGGAAAGGGAGTGAATTCTTTTCACAGAAATATAAAATACAGATAATCAGACACACATTACAAAAATTGTCTCCCACAATGTATACTTTAGAATCAAATTACACGAACACTTGAGTGACTTGATTGTAAGACGGGCGGCTGTGTAAATACGATTTATAAATAATAAATGAAGATATGCTCGTCAGTCTTTTCTCGATAAAATTACTGATTATGTCCACCATTTAATTGCTGCTGTTCTTATTTGCTGCATTATTTAGTCTACTTTTAACTATTATGTTATAATGGTATATATTGTATTACGATCATATCTTTTTGGGTTATTCGTGCTATCTTTTTAAGCTACGTATGGCATCCTCAAGCATAAATTATAAAGAGGTAACAACTAATACTGAATTCTGAACTCAACTATTTTTCCACCATACCAAAGTAAAGCCTTGTCTGTCTCAAACGATGGCCTGAGATGTCCACTGCAATCAATCCGTACTGATACATTTTCTCTTCATAACGAGGGCTCAGAGACATGCTGGTTTCAGCTAAAAGCCTCTTTAAAATATGAAATAATAAACCACCAGATAAAAATTAATCAGGCTGCTAAAACCACCTGTTAAAAAGTGAAAAAGGGCCAAGCAGGCACTCTGGGCTCCTATTTTTTTTCCCCATCACAAGAACTACTCTGGGCCTCCCTTGGTCCGAAGGCCAGGCGGGCAGGAGGGCCGCCCCATTGAATACGCCATCCTTTTCTGACAGTCAGCCGCCTAAGCTCTGAGGGCAGGGCCGCCCAGTGGAGCATTTTCACAGCCCTGTGAAGAAAACAGTAACCTGCTAAATAAATATATCTGGCAAATTGCTGCAAAACAAACAGAAATAGAGGCACCTTTTAAAAAAAATGTATAAAGTAAGAACTGTTGCTTCAAATCGCTGAACAGAATTCATGTGGTATATGTCATTTCTTTATACTCAAAACAGAAACAAATTACAAAAACAAATTTCTGACTACACTGTATGGATTGTACAATTACTGTTCCCATACGAATGTAACAAACCGGTCATAAAGATTATAATTCTAGTCAAACTATTTCAGGCACCAAAACTATTAGACTGTATAGCATATCTAAACAGTGTTTCTGCATTGCCACAATTTAATTTACTGCTTAAATCTGATTGGCTCTTATTTTTTAAATAATCTGAGATAAATGTACTTTATTGCAGAATCCAATAACTTAATTGTTATTATAGCTTTATTGCTTTTTGGGCGTTTTTCTTTAGAAAGAATAATTTTAGCACATTTCCTTCTTTATGCTAGGTTTTCAAAATATTCCCCATGAATAAGGGATATAACAATTAGGATATTGCCACAAATAACAGATACATGTGAAAAATATGCACGATAAAGCAATTCCATCGCATTGTTTAAGTTACATGGTTATACCAGAATAAATAGGACTTCAGCCATGAACAAATGGAGGAGAGCCTGAACTAAAACTTTTTCCAGGAACCCAGCAGTCACACAGGGAGGGAGGGAGGGGCAGGAGGGATGTCTTCAAAGACCAAAAGACTCTCGAAGTGGATTTTGCAAACTTAAAAAAGCATTCAGGAAGTCTTCGACTTATGACCACAATCAAGCCCAAAATTTCTGTTGCTAAATGAGATATTTCTTAGGTGGGTTTTGCCCCATTTTACTACCTTCCTTGTCACAGTTGTTAAATGAATCGCTGCAGTTGTTAAGTTAGCAACACGGTCATTAAGTGAATCTGGCTCCCCCCATTGACTTTGCTGGTTAGGAAGTTACAAAAGGTGATCACATGACCTCGGAATGCCGTTGCCCCAAGTGTCTGAATTTGACCACGGGGGATGCGGCAAGAGTCGTTAAGTATGAAAAACAATCAAAAGTCACTTTTTTCAGTGCTGTTGTAACTTTGAATAGTCGCTAAACGTGACCACTACAGGTTAAGGTCCAGGACTAGCTGTACTGTGATTCTGCAAATAGTAACTATGTAAAATCCGATTCTGCTTTCCTCTGGACACACAGAAACATTGGCCCCTGGAAAGGCAGGAACCAGGAAATGAAACTGTTATTTTCAGTACAGCAAAACACCAGTTGCAATCTGCTCTTATTATAAAACCCATCACATCTCACGTTAAATCTCTACTGGCAAATCACACTTTTCAGAATGGCATATTCAAATATTTATCAAAAGTATTTTCACCCTGCAAATGTCAGTAATGAGTGAGATTTTTAAGGTTGACAAACACAAAAAAAGGGAGTGATGGCTGGAGAAAAAAAGAAAAGCAGGTCCATCCTTATCACAAGTTTTGACAGGCTGATGGAACAGACGCCATTTAGGGGCTGCCAAGACCTCCTCAGCATCCTCTTCCTGGGAAAAAAGGGTGCCGATGGGGACAACAGGAGGAATGCAGGAAAGCACAGGGAACAGCAGTGAGAAAAGGGAAGCAAGGAAGCCGATCACGGCCTGCAAATTACGCAGGCATACAAGGCAAAGGAGGAAATGGGGTGTTTCATTGGAACTGAGCATTTGGAAGAGGCAGTCCAGGATTTGGGAAAGAAGATACTTGAAGGCTATCCTGTGCTTTTTAAGGAAGCCAACATGCACCTATAGTACACCATTCACTAACCACGTAAGGGACTGTGATTTTAGTCTATGCATATAGTCCTAATCGCAGGACCCCGCGATTATATTTCCACGAACTGTATCGGCTTTTCCCGTAACAGGAAGGTGGAAAGTATCTCAGCTCACATGAGAAACAGTTGGAACAATTCAAGTTCAAAACAGATGTTCTGAATTTGTTAACCACCCGCTTTGTGACCACCCTGGGGGTTATCTGAGCCGGTTTCACCTATTGGTTGCTTTGGGAGGAAAAAAGCAGGAGCATTTAGCACTGCCGCCTTGATTATTTTTATAATAAATAAAAGAAATCTAAAGTTATCAGAACAGGAAATGGAACGTTTAGAACTTTTAAAATCTTTTAAGCTGGAAAATTCTGCACATCACTACCCTCCAACACAAAAAAACACAGAAGGCCAGGCTGCGAAGGCCAGATTGACAAAGGCTGGGCTGGCAGAGACACCGGCAGGGCCCCCAGGAGCCCAAATCCAGGCTCCGGCCCGGCACCCCTGGCGCCCCCCCACCCCCACCCCCTCCAAACGGGCCACCCGCTGTGGGAACAGGAGGCCTCCTGCAGCTCTGAAAGGAGGGAGGAGGAGGAGGAGGAGGAGAGGCCGCTCCTGCTCTTCCTCCTCCTCCCCCCCCNCCCGCCCCCTCCCCTCCCTCGGCCGCCCCCAGCCCCAGCCCCAGCCCCAGCCCCCCCCGGGGGATGCGGGGGAACCGCCTTCTTCCAGGGCCGGGCCGGGGGATTATTGGGGGTGGGTCTCCTCCTCCTCCTCCTCCTCCCCCCCCGCAGAAAGAGAGGCCGAGGGGGCGAGCGAGGGAGCCCCCGGCGCCCTCCCCCCCCCCGCAGCCCAGTCCCGCCGGGCCCCGCTCCCTCGGCCTCGAGCGAAGCCCCCCGCCCGCCTCCCCCGAAGCAGCAGCGGCAGCGGCAGGAGGGGGAAGAGGAGGAGGAAGAGGAGGAGACCCCCTCGCCCCCCCCTCTCTCCCCCCCCGGGGTCTCCGCGGACGCCCCGCCTGGCTGGGGCGATGGGGGGGTCGGGCAGGGCCGAGGGGCAGCCCCGGCCTTCCCCAGCCCCGTGGGGTCCCCGGGCGGAGCGGCCTAAGCGAGCCCGGGGCGCCTGCGGGGCCTCCTCCTCCTCCTCCCTCGGCCCTCCCTTCCGGACACTCACCACCTCGCGGGCCCGGGCGGAGAAGCCTCCCCTTCCCCCGGGGGCTCTCCTGGGCCACAGGGCGGCCGGCTCGGCTCCTCCGGGAGGGACGCCCAGCGCCTTGTTGCGCGTCTTCACCGTCTTCACGGAGGCCCTGAAGAGCGCCGTGATGTCCGCCGCCGCCGCCGCCATGACAGCCGCCATGACAGCCGGGAGGGAGGGAGGGAGGGGGAGGGGCCCCACTCGCAGCCCTCTCCCCCCCCCGCTCCTTCCGGCCCAAAGGGGGAGGGGCCTGCCCTCTTGCCGGGCGGGGGGAGGGGAAGCCTCGGGGTGGGGGAGGGGAGCGAGGGCGCTCCGGAGGGGGGCAGGCCGAGAAGCCCCCCGCCGCCCCCCCGTCCCCGATCCCCCCGGGGTGGGGGTGGGCTCCTCCTCCTCCTCCTCCTCCTCCTCCTGAGCAGGTGGGGGGGGACCGGAGTGGGGGGGGGGCGCTGCGCAGCATCTTTGGTTACGGGGATTTGTCTTGTTAAGTTGTAAGTTGTCCTCCACTTACAACAGCTCATTTAGTGACCCTTTAAAGTTACACCAGCACTGAAAAAAAGTGACTTATGACCGTTTTTCACACCTTTGCGGCATCCCCGTGGTCATGTGATCAAAATTCGGAGGCTTGGCAACTGACTCACATTTATGACAGTCCCGGGGTCCCCCTTTTGAGACCTTCTGATAAGCAAAGTCTGAGGGGAAGCCAGATTCATTTAACAACCGTGTTACTAAGTTAACAATTGCAGTGATTCACTTAACGTGGTAAGAGGTCATAAAATGGGACTAAATTCACTTAAATTCTCACTTAGCAACAGAAATGTTGGCTTTGATTTGCACAAAGAATTATATATTTTTTTTGTAAACTATAACATACAATCCCAGGGAGTTACGCTTTACTGCTTTAGTGATGATCCCCGGTGTTTAGAGACACCAGTCGTAGCAATTGGCATACTCTCTTCCTGGAACCAAGTTATTTTTCCCTGATCCAGTAATAAGATTGTGTTTTATTTGTTCCGTACTTTTCTGGCATGGGAAGATTAGCTGGCAATGGTCAATCTTAATACTAAAATTTATTTTAGAGACAGATGGCTTACTCTGCTCCCTCGAAATCAAGGTTTGTCAGCAAAAGAAACAATCCTTGAACGTTGTTAGGAGTTTTTTTTTTTCTTTTCTCAGTAATATCAGATGCAGTTCTGTTCAAAATAAGCTGAGTTAACTTTGTAGAAGTGAAAACCAATTATTTTCAGGAAAGCTGGCAAACATCTTGCTTATCAAACTCCCTGAACTTTGTGCAGAGCAGGCAAGAAACAAGACCCTCGTGGGCTCTGTTGGGAAGCATGGGGCTGGTACTCCAGAGTCTTCTTGAAATGGATGGAAGCAGCCCAGGAGGTCTGGCTCGCTTCCAAGAGGTTTGCACACTTGTGTTCACAATCCATTTTTGCATCAAGCAGGCTTCCCATACTGCTTTTCCATATCTTTATTTGTGTCTTGGACGAAGATGTGGAGAAACTGCCTTTTGAATTTGCAGGTTGAGGGACACAAAGGAGAGCTGCTACTTTAGAAGAGGAAAATATATATATATCAACATTACACAGATAAGGATTAGAGAAACAGGCTGAAAGTAAAGGTACGTTAAGCAGGCACAGAGTTCTTTGCTTAGGAATGAAATGCACACCTGCGGGATGGAAAATGCCAAGGCATTCCCAAGGGGGAACCTCAACAACACCCCGAAAGAAGAGGAAGCTGCAGCAAGAAAAAACTCTCTACTGTGTGTTTCACTATGGTGATATCCCAACTTTAAGTACAGACGTTTTACACAAAGAATGAAAAGCCTGGGAGACATTTTGCCACTTGCAAGATGAAATGGGGAGAAGAGGCAAGCGTTTTTTAATTTTGCTCTCAGTTCTGGCCCAATTCCAGGTTTAGAAAGGTTTTGTTTTCAGTTCCACAAACAACACCAAATCCGTGCAGAATCATCAGGATGAGGTGAGGCTGCACTAGACTTCCATTAAGGCTGCTTGAGCACAACGTCTTCCTTCATATGTTGGATTCAGCAGGTGGAACCATCTCGTGCCCTGCTCAACATACATCAGGTTTTATGTACATATATAAATCAGTAACAGACTTTATGCAAGGAAGATGGGCAGTTAAGAAATACAAAATAGAAGTAAATATGCCAGGATACAAAAGATCTTAAATGTTTCTATTTTTGCTGTAGGTTTTTTCCAAACTTCAAGTATTCATGAATCAATTCCACCAGAATTCTGCATTTAGAGCCTGAGATCACCAAACTCTTTCTTCAGTTACCCATCTCCATCGATCAGTTGGATCATCCATGGTCCCTGGTCCTTCTCCACACACACATATTCTGTCACTGAAATATTTATATCTCCAATCAGAATTTAGAATAGAACAGAATTAGAATAGAATGGAATTCTTTATTGGCCAAGTGTGATTGGACACATGGAAATCTCAGCATCCTTAGACATAAATTTTGTCACTTGGAGGAGGAGGAGGAGGAGGAAAGGCTGCCTCCTCCCTCAAAAATAAGTGTATTCCTGTCCCCAGGCCACCCCTGTTCTGCCGGGGCCTGGGGAAGCCGGAGGGGAACGTCTCCTCTGCCTGCCTCCCCCTCCACGACTGGTCTCCGAAAAGGGTCTCTCTGGAAACCCCACCCAAGGGGGTTCTTCTTCTGGAGAAGGATCGGGGGGTCTCTTGAGCGCTGACCAGAGCTGCAAATAAAAGATGAGGGCCCCGAGACCCCTTTGCAAGTTTAAATGGGGGGGCTGGGTGTCCCGAAGCTTTTTTTCCCTGAATTCAAGTTGGGGGGGAGAAAAGGGTCCCTGTGCTTGTGGGGCCACTAGAGGGAGCTGAAAGGAAAAAAATCCCCGAGCCGAAAGCGTCTCCGTACCGCAAGCGCCATCCCTACGACCCGGCCGTTTGTCCCCTGACCTGGCAAGGCGGAGGGAGCCCGGGGCGCCTCCAGGGCCGGCCGGGGGGTTCCGGCCCCTGGATTTTGACCCCTGGAGCAGCTGCCGGTCTCCCTACTGGATGCTGCCGTACAGGAGACACGAGTTGCCTGCGCCGGTCTCCTCCTGCCTTCTCTCCCGGCAAGGTGGCGTCGTGGGAACCCCCCCCCCCACTGGCTCCAGGGGTCCCCTCTCTCTGGGGGCCAGAAGCTCCCGGGACAGGGCCGTCTCGCAGGCATCTGCCCCGCCTCCCCAGCCCAAGGCTGGCTCTTCTCACGGTAGCCCCGAGCCGCTGCGGATGCCTCACAATGGCCGGGGAGCCCCACCCAAAGGGCAGATCATTGAGCTGCGAGCCCTGCAGGGGGGGGGCCCTGGGGCAAGAGGGGCGAGGGAAGCGGGCTCTGCGCTCGCACGGGGTGACGGGGGCGGGGGTGTGTGTGTATGGGGGGGGGAGAAGGCGGCTGAAGGGCCCTTCGCTCTGCTCTGCTCTGCTCTGCGGGGGGGGGGGGCAGGCCCACCGTTTCTTAGGAGGAGAAAAGGGTAAGCAGAACAGAGACAGCAACAATGCCTCTTTTTTTTTGTTTGTTTAATTTGATGTTTATTTGAATTCTTTTGTTACTGGTCATTTGGCTTACCCTCTGAAGTATGATACCATCGAAAACACTGGAAGGAGGAGGAGGAGGAGGAGGAGGAGGAGGAGGGGGAGGATTTTGGCAAACTGTGGCTATAGAGCCCCTAGGAAAATAACAATCATCCGTGGTGGATATAATGAGGAGGTGTCTTATTACATAATTGAGGAGACAGTCTTGGTTATAGGCATGTTGGTTCACTTTTCACACTAAATTAATCGTAATAAGCATCTGCTTTGGATAAAGAGACTTTTGTGATAATTCAACCATGAACTCTCTGGAAGCCCAAACAGTTTTGCCTCACTTTCTCAGTCTGGATCGCTCTTTTGAAATGTTCCTCCTTTGCTTTAGGATAATCACCGTGTTAACATGAACTGATTAATCCCATCAGCCTAACATTGATATTATGACTGAAGTGGACATTTTCCAGCAAATTTCTGGCGATGACACCATCGGTTTCATCACCCGCAGCTGAAGAAACTCAGTGGTGCTTACAGCATCATTAGCTTCACGTCTGCACAGAAAACCCTCAGCAACAACGCGTGTGCCCTTCCCTCTCCTAGAGGTGCGTCGTGTCGCGCCCTGCTCTGGGAGACAAGAGCGGGGGACTCTGATGGCCACTGCGGCAATTACATCAACGTCGGGAATGGGATCCGCTGGGAAGATGCCCTGCGCAAGTTCCAAATTAGGACTGCAGGAGCCCGTTTCCCAAATCCAGACTATCGCCAGAGAGAAGCAGAAATGGGGGCGGGGTGTGTGTGACTGTCGCATTGTTCCCCCCCCCCCCGGTCTCCGGGCGGTCTGGACCTGGGAAGGCTCACTCGGATGGCCTTCTAGGTGGGTTGTGCAACAGCAGGTTGGATTTTGTTCCCTGGACTGGGGTCCTCTCGCCCTTGTTGCGACCTCCTCGGAGCCTTCCTTCTTAGGGCGGGCCAGCTCTCCTGCAGTATCAGGCGCCGCTTTTCTCCAGCTTCCATTGCTGGCTTTGCTGTTAGCACCAGCCGGATGGCACAAGAGATCGTGCCAGCCTTCACCTTGTTTAGGAGGCAAAGGGTGACAAAAAGAGGTGCTGGAGAAAAAGCAGAAAGCCCAAACCATCCGGAGAGCCATGAGATTTGCACTTCAAAGGGAATTCCAAGATGGGGAATTTGTGTTAGGTGTCAGACTATATCAAACCTTCAGGGACAAAGCCGGCGTCTGTTTGTTTATTCTTTGTTAAATAGGTTTCTATGGCTGCCCAACCCACCCACAGTGACCTCAGCTCCCCAAATAAAAGTCCAGGAGAGCCCACGCTGTCCCTTCTTGCAGCACTTGGGCAATCCAAGGAAGACGATCCTATTTTCCTCAAGAAACAGGATGGTTTGATTAAGGTTACCAGGAACGCTCCACCCTCACCTGTGACGTATTTCTTTATTCCTGCCCTTTGCCAGGCTCAGCTGCCCGTTTGAGGCTACATCTTCTCTCTGCTTACTGGCTCAGGTCTTCTAGGCTGACTTTGGGGAGTTCCTGCTTCTTATCCGTCCGCAGCTGAGCCGGAGGAGGAGGAGGAGATGGAGGCGTTGGGGGA